CCTCCACTCCGAACTCGACGAGGCGCGGCGGGAGGTCGAGGAGCTCCGCGCCCGCGACCTCGCGATGCAGGAGACGAACGCGCAGCTCTCCGTGGAGCTTTATAACGCGGAGAACGCGCTCCAGGCGATGCGGGCGGATGCCGAACGCCCCCTACCGCCGCCGCCTTCGGAGGAGACCCACGCCGCCGCTGGGGATCTCAAGCGGCTTCGTAAGCAGCTCCATCGCCAGGAGGCAGAGCTCGCCGCGCTCCTCGCGGAGCTGCTCCCGACGAAGGCGAAGCTCCTCGAGTACGTCGCGATGGGGGATCGACTCGGGCTGCCGTACCCTTTCCCCCCGGAGTTGGAAGGGGCCGCGGTGGTGCGTTTGAAGGCGATGAAGGCGCCGCGCGCGCGAAAGGGGGGGTCGACGAGGGCTCAGAAACGACCCTCCGAGTTGACGGGCGGGTCGCCGGAGGCGCGTCCGCCACGGCGTGGAAAAGGAGCCTATATTCCCCCCCCTGTAGATGGCGATCACGGCGACTACGTATCACTCCGATGAGGGTGCACCCCTGCGGGAGAAGGGTGGGGTCCACAAAAGGCAATGGACGAATTGACTTTTTTTCTTTTTCCAAAGAACGAGACAAACAAAGAAAACAACATATGGGGGAGGTGGGAAAAACTAATTAGTTAATGATTACACAATAGTCAATGGAGATGTATGCATGCTCGGGTGGTATCAACTTAATGAGCTTGCTGCAGGGGCGTGTGTGTGCATATGTGTCTGTACGGGAGGTTGTCACATGGAATAGAAAAAAAGGGGGGAAGGATCCTTGCCTTCAGACAACTTCCTATGCGTTAAATTCATTTTCAGCGTTCATTAGTGTTAATAGCATTATTCACTTGATAGGAAATCCCACTTTTTGCGTCGTTTTTATTTTTTCCGTTGCCTTTTTTTTTCTATGGAATCTAAGAAGGAAGCACCGAAGTGACTTGCTTATGTGGGATAGTTTACACTGCCCGAAAATATGGAGTGTAATGTTGTCCTTCCCCTCCTCCCCCACCTCAAATTTCAAAGGCGTTTGTGTAGTATGCATATGAGCTGCTATGCAGCCGCGGTGTAGGAACGTGCTATACCTCCAAACAACTGGTGCTCTACCTCTCTTGCCGTTTTTTTTTATTTACCCTTTTTACTTACGTCTCGGTGTTTGTTATCGACGCCAACCGATCCTGACATCAACTATTTTTTATATATATATAAAAGTGTAAAATTTGTATTGCGACTTGTTTATCAAGGTGAGAATTTCTACCCTCCTCCCTCCATACACACGGAGGCTAGCTTGAGAGGAATGGCGTTAATTTTATTGCGGAATTGCTTTTTCATAAGAATTTATCCATTTAATCCCTTTTCATAATCGTTGCGTGAGGATTTCCATATCATATCCACGCATAGAATTGCTGTTTGAGTGGTTTTCTTTTAAAAATTTTATAGCCTTTGCGTTTTTATTGTCTTCACGATTTTTTATAGATTCAGTCCATGCTTGTGAAGGGGGCGGATTTCTTTTTTTTACAAATGGTGATTTGAATCTGCGTTATTATATTTTCTCCCAACTAGATTATTGTTATATTGTCGTTTACATACTAGACACTATTCATTGTAACACTGTAACATTCTGAATGAAGATGAATTTCTGCAAGTGACTCAAGGAGATTACACGGGGGGGGGGCAGCCAGCTTTATGACCCCTTAGGCCTCCTTTTTGGCATCGTTGAGATATTCTGGATGGATATAGGCAATGCATGTGCTCATGGATGACCTATTTGGACTTTGTTTATACGAGGATAAACCGAAATTTCTGGATCTATGCCTGTGGTATCGAATTGTTCGACATACGGAGGCTGGATGGACTCACTGCCGGGGAAGGTGATACAGTTAACGTGGAGGAAAGCAATATGACAAAATCACCCGAAGAACCTCTAAATAGTGATGCAAAGATGGCAAGTATCGTTCTATGCGTGATAAATGGGCTATATTCGCCTAAATATCTACCTATATATTGTTTTTTGATTAACTCTTTCCCTCTTGCTTCCGTTCCAGAGGAATATTGGTAAGGTGGCATGTCGTGTGGTCGATACTTCCTGGTCAATGCTTTACGATGGTTTTGCAAGCGTGTACACTGAAACTGTTGCGTCTATCGTGTCTCTAGACGCCCATGGACAGGTGGCAGTGTCATCAACGGAATTAAACCCTTTGTAGAGTACCACACCGCATGCACATGCTACGCCCTTCTATAATGGTTCAGCCGATCGCGATGTTCAACGGCTGTCTTCGCGCAGGCAGAGAGGCGATAATCCTATAATAATAACTCAAGCTACGCTGATTTGAAACGCCAGACCCTCCTTTCACGGCGGGGCTTAGTGGGATGCCCCTGTGAAGCTTTCCAAGGGTATATACATCACGCGATCGAGGAAGGGAGGCAAGTGTTCTCGCGCAATTATTCGTTCCGCATTACTTTTAGCCTAACAGCCTACCCTGAATGCAACGAAGGACTACATCAAGTTGAGGTGTGGTCAATTAAAACCCTTTTCAACCTGTCAGGTCTTTCGGAAAGTTCAGATTCTCCCACGATCCGTACAAAAGGATATCTATTTGTTACCACAGCACACGTTTCTGGTCACTTTTAACCGTGCCCAGAGATACACTTGTGAGGATTGAATCGACGCCAATAAATACAGCCTCAGAAAGGAGTTGACGCCAAAACATGTTGCCATCTATATCGGTTACCTGCATTCCATTTGTGTATGCCTATATACAGATTACGCATAATGCATGCGTATCCATCCAGCTATTTTCTTTTGTGTGCACCCCTTTTTGGAGGGCGAGGGGGGGGGGGGGATGGGGTGGTATCTCTGTCGAATACAACCAATTTTTTCCCATTTTCTTGAGCAGTACTAATTATTATTATTTCCGACAAATATAGTGCAATGAATCGTTTTAGGATCTCAGGGAGTAGTAAAGAATTGTTTGGACCCGATGCTGGCTGGGAGGATGATACCACGATCTCAATCTGTGGGAATCGCCTTTGCAAGGTGAAATTCTCCTTTCTAGTAACAAAGCATCACTGCAGATGGTGTGGTCGCATTTTCTGTGGCACTTGCGCGCCACGGAACGTCCAAGTCGACGGGAAATGGTACCGTCGCTGCAATGGGTGTCGTCTTCCTATTATATTTCGAAGCGTTGTGAACCCATTCACTGCGAAGCGTGAGGCCACTGTACTGCATACCATTTTAGACTTTCTAACCCCGAAAAGTATCACTGCTTTATTGCAAAGTTGCCATACAATGCTTGCAGGATTTTTTTTGAGGGACTACCCTTTTTATAATACCATTCAAGAGCGTTTTCCTTCCTATTACGAGGGAGCTCAAATTGGAAAGGGTGGGTTTGGTATTGTGTACAACTGTGAGGATCGCTTCAACCCGGCACGAGGTCATGTTGTCATCAAACGTCTGGTTAAGGAGAAGGCTCTGACCTACTCCATGTGGGAACGGTTTTTTAACGAGCTGAAGGTTCATAAAGCTGCCAACCACCCGAATATCGCGCGCCAGCTCGAGGTTTTTCAGACGCCTGAGGATCTGGTCGTGGTTGTAGAAGCCGGTGAGGGCGGAACGGCGCGGCAGGCCTGCGAGTACGTGCGAACGCATCGCCTGCCGCTGGAGCCTTTTGTAGCGTCGCTTGTTCGGCAGGTGGCGGCGGGGTTGGATTACCTTTACCGCTCTTTACGTGTGGTGCATCGGGATATCAAGTTTGACAACATCGTCTTCACGCGGGACTTCGGTCGAGCCATGATTATCGACTTTGGTTTGTCGGAGCAGCTTACGATTGGGGAAGATCAAGGTGGAACGGCGACGTATGTTTTTATGGCGGCCGGCACTCCAGGGTACGCCTCCCCGGAGAATCTTGCCGCGGTCGTTTCCGGCCAAGCCTCCTTTCTCGCAACGGCGGCGACGATGCATAAGGGGGATCTGTTCAGCCTAGGGGTGATGGCGCACATGATGCTCACCTTGCATCGTCCGCTTCGCGCCAGGCGGTTTTCCAAGCAGTACCTGGAGATTCAGCAAGGGATACGATGCTACGGGCCCTGGTGGGATGGCATCTCGCTCGACGCTGCGGATTTGGTTTCGCAGCTCCTCCAGCAGAACCCGAGTTCTCGCCCAGATTACGCTGCTATCTGTGCACATCCGTTTATTCGCCGGCAGGCCGCGAAGATGGTGGATATCGTGCGGCACCGCCAGGAGTCCGGCCGCAGGGACGACGCCGAGGAGCGGGAGCATTGGGTGCGTATGGAGCCGACCCCGGAAGATACGGAGGCTCCTGAGCAGTTCCCCTATTCGAAGTATAGCATTCGGGGATTCTTCAGCCTATGGGAATCAAGCCGAATTTTGCTCGGCCGTATGAATAACTGGGGCGGCACGTTAATCTTTTAGCTAAAGCGATCACGCGGGTAGGTGGGCGGGAGAAATGCTCATAGACAACAGGGTGACCGAGCTAGATTAGGCATCACTTTGAATCAACTGGCCTGTGTTCTGATGCGTGCTGGTTGTGGTGTGGAGCGTTAGGAGGTGCTTGAGTTCGAAGGGGGGATGTGTGAGGCATGTCACTCTTGCTGATACAAATTCTCCCGCGAAACCATAGCCGAATACGAATGGGGGTGCAGCTGAGGTGTGTATAATTTGTATTGTGGAACATCTTATTCCGCGGCTCCCAACATCTTTTCCACTTAGTGTAGAACTTTCTCATCGCTTCTTTTGCTTTTTTCCTAAGATAATAAGGCGCATGTACACGGGAGACATGGACGGGATATTATTTGACAGTATCGGTTTTCCTACTTTTGCCTTTCTTCATCCCCTTGAATGCTCATGAGTTTCTGATTTTTTTTTCATATTTTCTATTTTTTGTTATTTTGTCGCGGTAGATTTTAGTTGGATGATTTACTTTCTATTTTGAACCTTTGAAACTGAGGAATTGCGTTCTGAAAAGAACCCAATTTTTTATTATAGTATTCCCTTTTCAAACGCCCAGGTAGGGTACCAGAAAGGGGTACCAAGGAACCCTTTCCTGTACATTTGCCTCATCCTTTTTTGTCGCTGTCGTCATCGTTTGCAGAAATGCTGGATGGGTTGGAGATTGCCCAAGAGGTATTGATGGCGGATGGGTACCCCCTCCGAGTCCTCTCTTTGGCACCGGATATGGGGGCGGTAACGTGCGAGACCTCTATTCCCGATGCGAGGCGGAACTACATGAAGCTGGCCCTCCTTATTCATCCGGATAAGCTCAAGGATCGATTTGAAAAGGCCACGGAGGCCTTTCAGTGCCTCGTTCGAGCGTTTGAGGAGTTTTCAAACCTCAAACAACGAAAAGGTGCCGCTAAAAGGACGAGTGCCGGACGTCTATCGGTCTCCGCGGCAGACCGCAAGGTGGAGAAGGCGACGCGGTCCTCCAAAGTTTCCGCTGAAAAGAAAGAAGCCCGTCATCGCTCGTCGGACCCGTCCACGGCAACCCGCCCCGGGCGGTCCAAAACGACTTCCACGACGAAAAAAGCCTCCGCGGCAGCGGCCCCGAAGCGTCGGAAGCGCACCAAGTCCAAAGACGAGGACGAGGACGAGGAGGAGGAGGAGGGGGAGGACGACGACGACGACGACTTCGTCGTCCCCGACGACTCCAGCGCGCCCACCTCAAGCGAGGACGCGGCCGACGACGACGAGGCGGACGACTTCGTGCTGGGGTCCGACGCGGAGCCCGCGGTGTCGACGAGCCGGACCCCCATTGGGGAGCCCCGGGTTGGGGAGCTCTACCGCCCGACGGTGCTCGCGTGCCCGCGGTGCCGGACGGCGTGGGAGCCCGACGCGCGGCCGCAGTACTCCCTCGTGATGGGCCCCTGGCGGCGGCGGGTGCACTGCCAGCTCTGCCTCCTCGCCTTCGGGGCCGCGACGGCCCTGCACGGATGCCCCCACTGCGCCGCCCCCTTTGAGTACGACCCCTCGTGCTACGACGAGGTCCTCCGCTGCGGCGGCTGCCGGCGGCGCTTCGGCTTCCCCTACTACCCCGTCTCCCGCGCGATGATCGACCAGGCCCGGTGGGA